AGGCGATTGGATACAGAGGAAGAGGAGTGAGGGGTGTGGGTTTGAATGGAGAGGAGGATTCAAAGAATTGACCAGAGGAGATCCAATCAGTGATTGATACCATTGAAATAGCAAGGCCTCATGAATTAGAAAAATTAAAATACGTCCAAGTATTTATACGTCCAAATATGTCCAAGTAATAAATCATGGATAAAGAGGACAGCTAAAAAACTCAAGATCATGAATATGTACCATAAATATAATCCCATCACTGCCTGTGTTTCATCCCAATGTGCATTAAGTGATGTATTTAACTGAACAGTTTTGTTGAAATTATATCATCACGAGAATGTCAAGTGAAAGATGAAAAACATCAATTATAAATTCTGTCAGATTTTCAATTTGAGATTTAGAATGTTAAAATGTTGTTCTGATCCCAGCTGATGGTTCTGCTGGACAAGTCTGATCTGTGTTCTGTGCGTGTCCCCGATGTGGCAGTAGCTGCAGAATCTCACTCACTAACACATTCCTGTGTTCTTGTCTTTCAGAACTACAGGAGTTCCTCACTTTGGAAGGTAAGTTATTTCAGAACCATTTCAGGAATCTGATTTACAGACACTGAGTAAGAAAATTCCAGTTTCACTTCATGGAAATCCAGGAATTTGAATATAGAGGGTGAAATTTTATAAGGGTCTGAGCGATGTGGTCTGTGGTGAGAAGTTGATGGAATTGTGTGAGGTGTCCATTGAGGCCCATTTCAATGTCACTGCCTGGCATTGAGGTGGGATCCTCACAAGGCAGCAATGCGTGTTGCCTATTAAAGGGGATTCTTGCTTGTGAAAGACCTTATTAACTGCATCCCTCACCTCATTAATATACATACTTCTATCTCACCAAACCTGTCATACAAACGGGATACTGAGAATTCTCAACATGGAGATCCAAACATGTACCTGCTGACTTCAGCTCACTGCTCACTCCAAGGGGATCTCAATGTTGGAAATCAGACACCAACCTCTCTGGGCACGCTCCATGGGCACCGGCCACACGTAACCTATGTCCATGGACTTTGGCATCCAACATGTGCCAGCCTTGAAACACGCTCATGGCACATCTGCAAACCATTGCCCTCTGCATGTCAGTGCTGCACCTTGGGGTGCAATGGCAGCTTTCATTGTAAAGCTGCTGCAAGGACATTGTACACTCAGAGGCACACACCAAGCTCATGGACTGGGCCAAACTGCATCTCTGGGATGTTTACTTGTTCTTTTCGCTCTCACTCACTCTCAGCCTATCTGGATGTTTGCAGCATTTCTGCTTTTTCATTAACATTTACTCCTTGTCCCTCAGCCAGATATACGATGCTCACAGTTCTGCCGTTTAACCCTGCTGTTTAGGAGAGACGCAGAGTCAAGGAGATGGTCAGGTTGTCAGCAGAACACAGTCAAGTCAAGGGAGGTAGCCTTCAGCCAGAGGATATGGTCAGTCAGCAGCATTACCCCTCATTAGCTGTGAGGAGTCAGCTATCGGCTAGTACCCCCCAAGCCGTACGGACTCTTACTGACTACTGGGGACTGTTTTCCTCCTGAATGAAAGAGAGGCCGTTGTTAATGGAGACAAAAGTGCTCTTACTGTTGGTGTAGGTGTGAAGGTGTCCTGAGTGAGTGTGTAGGCAGCACAGAGAACAAATAGGGTTTGTGGTGTCAGGTGTTGGTGTAGGTGATGGAGAGTGAGTGAAGATGTTCCAGTCCGTAGTGAGTGTGGTAAAGCATGAGCCTTGGTGGGAGGTGGGTGCAGCAGCAGAGACAGAGTGAGTGTGCGGTAGTAGAGAGAAGATGGTGGATCGTACGGTGGTGGAGTGGAGAATGTTGCTGATGTGCTGGGTACTCCTCCAGACACTGAGACTGTACTCACCCGTGTGCCACCCTCTGACCAGGCAGGGTCTGGCATCATGACCATCTCGGCTGGTCCTGGGGGAAGAGGGTATCTACACCACCCTGTCCAGCGAGACCTTCAGGTTCCTGTCCACAAAGTGAGGCAATAATTACCTCCTGTCTGCTCCGTCTGGGGAAAATGGCAGGAACTGTACGGGGCAGCTGCAGGCTGACATATCTGTCTGGCTGCACAACAGCCTTGTAGAGATGGCACCGCTGCCAGGGATCAGGTCAGTTCTGGGATATCCCAGCAGTGGCGAGTTGCTTCAGAAATGGTGGGTGGTAGGATGAGGCTCGAACTGAATGTGAGGCTCATAGTGACACGGTCTGTAGTTAGTGAGGTGAGTTTGGGAAGATATGGTGAGAAAACCTGCTGGACATCATGAAGAGAAATCGTCCATGAAACTTGATGAAGCTGACTGTTAACCAAAAAAAGTTAGATTCAGCCCAATGTTCTACAATCCTGTTTGCTTTTCCCTGATTAATCTCCATCAATGGCCTAGACTATTTCACATGCCTGTGACTTCACACCCTGTTATATTTAAACAACTTCCCACAGCAGTCCCGACTGGGTGTGCAGTGAGTTAGATGTTGTTCCTTCATCTTTGGGACTGAGTGGTTCAGTAGGTCCAATCCTGTCTTTTTGCGTTTTGAAACATATTTGTGCATTGGATACAAATATTGGAATGTTGTATTGCAGAACCATCAACTTTTCTTTGTTTATCATTCTTCAATATAATGAAATGCTCTTTCACTGTTAGCTGTTGATTATCAAGTGGATTAGATGTGGTCCTTTTCTGATGCAGATAGTTTGATACAGTGCTTCCTTAATTAAAATTTTTGTTATCTTTATGTAATTATTCTTTACTATTTCTTGAAAAATATGCTTCAAGTGAGGGGGCAGAATACAGAATGAATGAGCGTAATGTCCTGGATCGGTGAAAACAACAAATTAATTTCATCATTACTGTGTAATCTTTAATATGTTGTATCATTTTATTTACTTTGCATGGTTTCTCTTTTTTTAAAACCTCATTGATTTTTTTTTCTTTGGAGAATGAGTTTAGAGAGGTTTTGCTGATTGGTTGCTCGTTCCAAGGTAACAACTGAGCAGAATGCTACTTGATTTCACTTCCTCCCCAGTTAGCCAATGAAAAGCAGGAAGAGTCTCCACATGACAATCAGAATCTGACGTCTGTCCAAGGGACATGTTACCACAAACAGCCCCTTTCAAACATGCACGAAACAGGTGGAAGTAGCTTGATGGATAGGTTCAGCTATCAGGGTTTTCAGCTCCCGATGTGTCACTGGGGCAGAGTTGTAATGTAATAATCATGGGCCGATCATGAGATAGAAATACTGTCAACACTTCCCAATATTCCAGTCCCAGTTCCCGATCAATGTCAGTCTTTATGTTAATGGGATAATTATTCTGAGATGAACAGAGCATTTGAACAAAAAGAAAATCTGAAGTTTCTGGCAATACTCAACAGCTCAGGCAGCATGTTTGGAGAGAGAAACCAAGATAATGTTTCAGGTCAATGACCTTTGGGAAAAAGAGACGTATCAGGTCTTGAGCAAGTGCTGAGATTGGGGGAAGGGACAGTGGGGAAGGGGGAAGTGCAAAAGGAATGAAAGGAAAGGTTCATGACAGGGTGGAAGGCAAAAGTGATTCAGTGATGAAATGGACAATGATGTAAAGGAAAGGAGATGGAAGTGAGACCAGTTGTTACGCATGATTGGGATTGTGCACTGGAAATCAAGTCCCTTTATTCCTGGAGTCATCGCAAATGTTCAAGATGTTTAAAAATATGCCAAGTTCCCCAGTTTACTGATCTTTTAGACCAAGATTGATGAAAAGCACAGACCATAACAAGTAAATAGACTGTAGCTACTGGTCAAACGTTATGAACCATTGGCATGGGGGAGATGATGGCCTAGTGGCAGTATTACTGCACTGTTAATCCAGAGACCCAGGTGATGTTCTGGGGACCCAGGTTTGAATCCCACCAGATTGTGGATGGTGGCAGATGGTGGAGCTTGAATGCAATAAAAAAAAATCTGGAGTTAAGAGTCTAATGATGACCATGAATCCATAGTGAGAAAAACCTAGTGGGGTTTTCAGTGGGGAAAAACCTAAAGGAAACTGCTTTCCTTACCCGGTCAGACCTACAGTAACGTATTGACTCTTACCGGCTCTCTGGGCAATTAGCAGTGGGCAATAAACCGGCTACACCCTCATCCCATGAATGAATAAAAAACACTGATAGGTAAATCTCGAATCGCATTGTAAACTGCCTTATATGCCTTTCCTCTCCCTCCAAACACACACACACACACACACACACACACAGAAAGAAAACATGGGTGTTCATGTTCATAGGGAGCTGCTGACTCTTGTGCTGATCTGTACACTGCTCTTGATCTTCCTTCTCCTGATGCTTTCACTGGTTTGCAGGAGACCCAGATTGTACAGTTCACACTTATAAAAGATCCCTGACTTGTTTGTTAAAGTCGTAACTTACAGAAACTGCTGAAGGAAAAATAAACAAATACTCTTCAGGCTTAAAATGAGTTTTGTTGCAGAGAACGGAGAGAACTTCTGAGCTGATGAAGATCCATTGATGTCTCTGTATCTTATTCAAAGCCCCAAGCTGCATCTGGTTCTGCATCTTTTACTGCTGCTTGAACCAGCAACTGTGTAAACAGTGCTTACAATCAGTGTCCAGTTACTTGCTTTAAAAAAAATGCAGCAATCCTCCAACAATCCTTGGTTTTTAAAGTAATTCTTTTCCCATTTCAGTCCACACTTAAAAATCAGTGGAAGATAAAAAGGAACAGTCTTTACAAAGTGAAGAAATAAAAGATGGTCGACCGGTGCTGCAAGAAAAGTAAATGTTGGAGATCTGAAATAAAAACAGAAAGTGCTGGAGGAACTCAGCAGGTCTGGAAAAATCTGTGGAGAGAGAGAAAAACAAAATGAATGTCAAATTCATGATGACTCTTCTTCAGAACGTGTGTGTTCCATAGATTGGCAATATCAAACTCGAATGGTGAACTTTGTTCCTCTCAACACAAACGATGCCAAACATGCTGAATTTCTTCAATAGTTCCTGTTTTTATGTGAGATGAGACCTAAGGGGAACAGTAGAATCATAGCCAACAGCTACTGTCAAAAAAAATGTGATTTTAAATATTCTTGTTCCATACAGGTTTCAATGAACTGGAAATAAATCGTGGTAAGTACAGAACTAACATACAATTCAATGAAACTAACCCGAACTGACAATAGATGTTGAAGGACACTTCTCATTGGAAATCTTTTATTTGAAATGGAGGTATTTAATTCAGCTTGTCATTTCTGCTGAAAAATTTTATTTCATATGAACGTAGAAGTTACCAGTATGTCTATATTTTGTATTCTTATCATGCATTTCTGAATATATTTCGTGAAGCCACAAGTATTTAACCATATATCCACATTTATAATTCCATTGTACTGCAGGAACATTTTATTTGCACAATGTTTGTGGAATGAGTTCACTGATACATTCAGGCTTCAGGACATGATGAGGTCAAGAGGCTGAGACAACATGTTGGTCTTGGTTTCTGACGATGAGCTGAGTGGGAGTGGGGCAGAGGGTTCTGTCTTACCAGCTCATATTATTTGGGATCATTGTTGTTTATGGTAATTGTGTGGGTTGATGTGTTCAGAGGGACAGTGCTGATCAGTTCTATAAAATCAGACCCTCGACTGCTTGATAGTTTCCCTAGTTCAGGAAATGTCCCACATACAGTTATTGCAGGTTTGCTGAGGGATGGGGGGCAGTATTTCACAAAAGGGGAATGTATTAGTTGCAGCCAATAATAAGAGTTGTGCTAAACTGTTCATTGGACAGTCCGTGTCAGTACTGAGCTGCATCCTGTAGAATTGCAGGAGGAGCCCAGCTCTGCGTGATCTGCTGCTGTTCACACAGTTCAGTTCATGGGCAGGGGATCAAACAGGCAGATTTTACTGGGTCAGTGTCAGTGACTCCGTTTCAGTACAGTCACACTGCAGTCACAATTAAACCATGGGTTACAGTCAGTAAGGTCAGTGTAAAATACAATCAGATCTCAAACACCGTCAGGAGCTCACTCTGGGATCTCAGGTGGAGAATCTATTCAGGACCAAACTGTCAGGAGAATTGGTCACTGTGTAGAAATGTAAAGAAACCCTTGGATTTCTACCATTTCAGGATCTCAGAATGTTCCAAAGTGTTTGCCAGACAAGGAAGTGTTTCTGAAATGTAGACCCAGGTTTTCCATTGGTCATGCAGGCATTATTCCAGTGTAGGTGGGAGCTTTACATGAGGACTCTGCAGAATTCCCATTATAACACTCCGAGTGAATTGCCTGGGATATTGAATTTTCCGGTCAGCAATTCATTTACCTCTGGATCCCTCCAAAAGTATCCATTTAAATCAGAGAACTTGGTGGGTTCCACTATAATTGAGCAACTAGTTACTCACGAAAATTTTGGGCCTGGTCAAACTCCTGAGTATCTATTAACCTGATCCCCCTCAACTTAACTCACGCTCAACTACACGTCCCCCAGACCCTGACATGACATCATCCTGTATTGTTGTGATCTGACTGCCCCAGCCCTGGACCTGACCTCCCACCTTCACCACCCCCTGTCTCCCCCATTCCCTGCTCCTTTTGGACTCGATCTGTCCTGCCCACCACAACCTACTCCAAACACTCCATCACTTTCCTGGCCCCCACTACCTTGCTCTTCAGCACCCAACTTAACTGGCTTCTTCACTCTACTCACCTGGTACCCTCCCCTCACAGCACCCAAATCTTACCCCCTCAGGCAATGCTGGAGAACCTCAGCAGATCTGGCAGCATCTGTGGGGAGAGAAACAGAGTTAAGGTTTTGAGTCCAGTGACACTTCTTCAGAACTGAATGATGATGGAACATGGATTCATTTATATCTTTTGAGAGGCAGAGGATGAGACAGAGGACAGATGGAATAGACACCCAGTGCAAAAGATAAGGGGCTTCTTAAAGTAGACAGAAAAAAAGATGTATAAAGGATCTAAAGATATGGGGTAGGCCATTTAGTGCTGAGATGTGGAGAACTGTCTTCACTCTGAGTGGACAAGGTCAGAAGTCACATAACGCCAAGTTATCGCTCAGCAGGTTTATTTGAAATCACAAGCTTTTGAAGCACTGCCCCTTCGTCAGGTGATTTCATCTGGTGTCATGTGATTTCTGACTTTGTCCACCCCAGTCCAACCTCCACTTCACTCTGAGTGGTGAGCCTGTGGAATTCTCTGCCACAGAAAATGGTTGAAGCCAAAACAAGTTAGTATTTTCAAGAAGGATTTCAGTATAGTTCTTAGAACTGAAGGATCAAAGGGTATGGGGGGAGGGGGGGAAGAGCAGGAGCAGGGTACTAAGCAGGATGTGAGCCATGTAAAGTGTCAGACCAATCATGAATGTAAGTGGGAAGAGATTTAACAAGGGTGGAGAAATAGAGTCAAGGGAAGGAAGAGACAAGTTCCATGGGGCAGGAACAGGCTGCAATGATGGGTCTGCCAGTGCAGGCCTGTTTGTGGATTTTGGGGAGGAGGTAGAAGGGAGCTGTGTGGGTTTGAGGCACAATGATTTGGGAAGCTGTGGGGGAGCGAGGGATTAGATTTCCAGAGGAGATGAAGTCTGTGACAATCTTGGAAACAACAGTCTGGTGTTCAAAGGTGCAGTCATGATCCAGGAGAGATAGAAGAAAGTGCTGTAGTCCCCTTTTCATTGATAAGATCAAACACAGACTGAGTGACTGGTTTGAGGAATACCTCCATCCTGACTGTAGGAATGACCACAACCTCTCAGTTGTGACCATTTTAATAACGCACCTTGCTCTTAACGGAGCATTTCTGAGCAGGGCCTGCAGGCACTAAAAACATGCTCAAGAAACAACGCCTCATTTTCTGCTCAGGCACTATGCAGCCTCAAGATCTCAACATTGAATTCAATAACTTCATAAACTTACATAAAACAGAGAATTGCAGATGCTGGAGATTTAAAACATCGATAGAAATTGCTGGAGAAATTCAGCAGGTTTGGCAGCATCTGTGGGCAAAAAGCAGAATTAATGTGTCAAGTCCAGTGATTCTTCATCAAAACTGTTAGCAGCTTGGAAAACCTGGGATTTCTGCTAAAGATGAGGTTGGGCTAGCGGAGGGATGGCGAGAGGGGAGTGAATAGGTGGAGGTGGAGCCCAGAGATGGAGTGAGGTGAAAGGGGTAGGTCAACAAGGAGATTATGGATAGCAGGCCTGTACAGAAGAAAAGGTGAATAAGTGATAATAAGAGTGAAGAGTATAAGAAAATGTGAGAGCTGAAATGAATGCAACCCATACAATGTGATAATAGGCTGAGGAGTAGGTGAGAATGGCTAACTGTGCTAACAGCATCCCATGACATAACAGGGTCTGGGGTGGGGAAAGGATGGAACCAGGCTCGAAAGTCATTGCACTCGATGTTGAGTCCTGGAGGCTGCAGGTCCCCAAGCGGAAAATGAGATTCTGTTCTTTGAGCGTCTGCTGAGGGTTGCTGGAATACTGCAGCGGGCCTGTGACAGAAATGTTTGTGTGGGAACAGGATGGTGTGTTGAAGTGGCAGACAACTGGAAGCTGAGGATCATTTTTTACGGACAGAATGTAAGTGTTCGGCAAAGCAGTCCCCAATCTGTGTTTTGTCTCCCCATTGCACAGGAGATCTTAGTGTGAGCAGCGAACACAGTAGACTAAGATTGAGTGAAGTGCAGGTAAATCACTGCTTCACCTGGAAGATGGGCCTGGGGCCCTGGATGGTGAGGAGGGAGCAGAAAACAGGCTTGTTTACTTTTCCAGCAACTTTGTTTTTGTTCCTGATTTACAGCATTCGCAGTTCTTTCGGTTTTTATTTAAACAGGCTTATGTCACCCTTTCTGTGATTGCAGGGGAAGGCACAATGGAGGTGTGAGGAGGTGTTGGGAGTGGAAAAGGAGTGGACGAGAGTGTCCCAGAGGGAACGGTCCCTGTGGAAGGCTGACAGGGGAGGGGAGGCGAATATGTTGGGTTCTGGCAAACCATCGGATGAAGCAGAAATAGCAGCTGACGGTCATTTGGATGTGACAGCTGGTGAGGTGGTATTCTGGTTTGATATTGGATTCAAAGATACTCTATGAGTTAATTGAAAACGAAGAACTGTGGATGCTGGAAATCAGAAACAAACAGAAATTGCTTGAAATCGGAAACAAAAACATATTGCTGGAAACGGACACAAAAACAGAAATCGCTGGAAAAACTCAGCAGGTCTGGCAGTACCTGTGGAGAGAAATCAGAGTTAACGTTCGGGTCCAGTGACCCTTCTTCAGAACTGATGGTAGCTGGGAACATTTTTTTTGATGCAGAAGATCGGGTGGGGGCAGAGGGTAAGGAGTAAACAATAGGTGGAGAGAGAGCCCAAAGACAGAGAAAACAGTTGGACAGACAAAGGAGTGGATAACAGTCAGCCTGGGAGAGTGAGTAGCTGTAAATGGGGGCAATTAGGAGCTAATAGTGGGTTGTTTGCAATTGCAGACTGAGCGATAACAAGGCCTGGTGTATCAGGGTGGGGGCAAAGATGCTCAAGCCCGAAGATTGTTGAACTCAACATTGAGTCCAGAAGGGTGTAGCATTCCCAAGTGGAAAACGACATGCTGTTCCTCCAGCGTGCACTGAGCTGTACTGTGCAGGAGCATTCCCCTGTTGTTTTGCTGTGTTAGTTATGAGGGGGTGGGTTACTAATTCAGTACCCAGCTCATCATCCTGTCCTACCCCCTCAATCTGCTTATCTTGAGTCCAGTGAACACCATATATCCCCATCCCAATGATCAGGATCCCAGCCTAACGTTAATAATCTACTGACTTTCGCTGATCACCCTGCCACTGCTCTTTCCTCGCCTTTTTGTATTGCACTGCTGCCAAACGACAGATAATTTGAGTTAGTTTTTGTCCCACACTCTCAGCTCTATCCTGTACAGTTTTAGTCACCTCAATCAACATCACATTTTGTCGCTCTGACTGAGCCAAAGCAACCTTTCACTGTTTATTCTCCTGCTCACACTCCATTCGAGCAGTATGCTCATATCTCACAGCAGTTAATCATCTCCATCCCATTCAGGGAGGTTCTCCTCCTGCCTGGGGAAGCCTGCTTCCACCAAACAGTCCCTCACCACCACAGGCAGGTTAGCATCTACTGCAAAATCCTCCTTTAAGAGGCTTTCCCATCTTTGCGGAGACTCCCATTGTGCCAGCAAATTTCCAGATGATCCAAACCCCTCAATATCCCGGGAAACGGAATGCCGCAGGCTTCTTGGGTTGTTCCTTGTTTTTGAATATTTTGAACATCACGCGGAACCCTGCTCCCAGCGCCAAAACCTTACGGTTCAATCATGGATTTGATGGGATCTACAAAATCATTAAGTGATTCGAATTAAAAAGCCTATTGGTGGTTATATTTATGTAATAAATGATGATGAATATGTTAAACAGTAAATATCTATTAAACAGTAAATATATGTAATCCAGTAGATAAATATGTTTGTTTCGAGAACAGTAAATATACATTAAGCAGTAGTCTAGATACATTAGAAACACATATAAGTTAATGTGTTATCTAAGTTAACGAGTGGATCTGTTAGCCTAAACTATTTTAGACAAGTTTAACAACGGCTCTCACTGCCCTCCTGCCTGTCAGGGACGACGTTTTACAGCGGCTGGTCTGGAGAACCTGGGGTTCCCGGCACATTTGAAATCCCAGTCCAAGTGAAGTTCCCTGAATAGGGCAAACTCTCTGATGTGACACCTGTGCTGAATCTAAGATTATGTGCCGTATCATTATTCCCTGGTCCTTTCAGCACTTTCCCAGACATTTCACTGGACAGAAAAACATCCAGGTGGCTCGGTGTGACAGCCAAGCAGGACAATACGCACAGACGGTGTCATATCATCTGCTCATTCCTCAGTCGAAACAAGCTGCTTTCACATTAGGCCTGTTTCCCACATATGTTCCACTTTATTTCAATTCCTCGTTGTCACATGCAATTAACCCTTAATGAGCTGGTTTGAAGATCATTTTAATCCTGCCACTACAGTCGGTAAGTCAGGACCTGAGGGAACCCATTGCTTTGTGGGAGCGAAAAGTAGTGGGGGCGGGCAGAAATGTGGGAGATAGCCCTGTCGAATATAGTAATGCGGAATCCTCGGTTGAGGAAGAAGGTGGACGTTTCTGAGGCCCCCCTGAGGAAGGTGGCATTTTCAGACAGTTGTAATGCGAGCAGAAAAACTGGGGAAATGGGATGGAGTCCTTATAGGAAGCAGGCTGTGAGGATGTATAGACCAGGTAACTGTGGGAGTCGGTGGGTTTTTAGTGGATGTTGGTGGCCAGTCTGTCCCCGGAAATGGTAACAGAGATGTCAAGGAAGGTATTGGAGAAGTCAGAGAAGGATCAGATGAAGGTGAGGGCAGGGTAGAAATTGGAAGCTAAACTGATAAATTTTTCCAGTTCAGATTAATTTCAGGGATGAAAGGGCTGTAACACGGGGAGCAGTTGAATAACTGGGATTGTACTGGCTGGAGTTCGGAAGAATGAGGGGGGAATCTGATTGAGGAATATAAAATATTAAAGGGGGGTTGATAAAGTGGATATTGAACAGACAATCCCACTTGTGGGACAGTCTCGAACAAGAGGTCACAGATAAAGAGTGAGATGAGGAGAAACTATATGTGAGTCTGTGGAACTCACTGCCCCAGAGTGCAGTGGAAGCAGAATCAACGAACAGATTGACGAAAGAAATAGATATGTTTCTGAGGTAAAGCAGGTTAAAGGGCTATGGGAAGCAGGTAAGGAAAGTGGAGTTGAGACCAGGATAAGATCAGCCATGACCTTGTTAAATGGGCAGCACTGCCTACTTCCGCTCCTAATTCTGACGCTCCTCTGTTGAAGAAGAATGATACCAGACTTGAAACATGAACTCTGTTTCTCTCTCCACACACTGCCAGAGCTGCTGAGTTTCTCCAGCTTTCTCTGTGTTTGTTTTAGATTACCAGCATGAGTAGCATTTTGTCTTTCCCCAAATATTACATTTACCTCGGGGATTTACCTGTTCACACGCACTGTTAAAGTAACTGTCTGTGACACTGGACCTATATCACAGAACACAGAAACTGACTGCTGTGAGAAAGGGAGCACGATTTACCTTCCCCCCCATTCTCCTGTACTTACAAGGGACTTAACAGATTTGAAATCTGGCTTTATATTTAGAAAACACCATATCGAACAGTCCAGTCCAGCACAGGAACAGGCCCTTTGGCCCTCCATATCTGTGCTGACCATGATGCCATTCTAAACTGCACATGGTTGGTATCCCTCTGTTTCCTGAAGGAGACCTGATCTGAATCTCCTGTAAGAAATGCACAGCTTGATCTTCAGGTAAATAAAGGGGCAGAATGTTAATCTGATTAAGTGTGATTGTAACTCCTCAGAAAATCCAGACCAGTGTCATTGATTTAGTATTGGAAACATGGCAGTCAAACTGCACAACTCTCCCACTTCCCTGTCCCGAAACCCCGCCCTATCCCAGTCACATTCCTCACTGCCCCCTCAATTTCCCAATGTGTCCCTACACCACCCTCAACCCCAGTATGTTCTCTCACCGTCCTAATACCCCATTGACTCCTGTCCATCTCCCCTCAGCCAGTCCCCTGTCCTGCCCTCCCCTTGATCAATATGAGAGACTGCCCCTTCCCAGATTCCCCCAACAAGACCCCTTCCGTACTTCTGACACAAAACAAAACCACTCCAAGCCCAGGGAGACTCCAATCCCAGTCTTCCCGTGAACCCCTCGGCCTGGACACCAATACCACAGCAAACCTGCTCCCCCTTTATCTTCCCTAATCCCACACATGACTTGCTAACTCCTGCCCGAACCACTCACAACTTCCCAATCCCCCAGTGAATCCCATTCCCTTACACCCCATGACTGCCCTCCCCATTGCCCCCAGCATTACCCCTCACCCTCCACCTGATGCCCCCATAAGACAACATCCCCTCCCCAGGACCTTCAGTGAGTCTCCTCACAATCTTTGATCCACAAATAACACCCAAGCCCTTGACATTCTCACCCTCTCCCCAACAGACACACACACACATTTCCCCCCAACACAAACATTCCCACCATCCCGTCCCTCCCAGACACACACTAACCACACACACAGTCTGACACATACAGACACACAGTCTGATACACAGACACTGACACATACCCAGGGACTGTCTGTAATTCCCTGTTT